CAGGGAGAATGTCTTTTTTTTCTCTTTCTGCGAAGAGCAGGATGCGTACCAGTAGCTTGAAGTTGCAAGAAATAGGTTTAGATTGGATATCAGGAAAAACGTTTTCCATGTTAAAGCAGTGAGGCACTGGAATAGTTTGCCTAGGGAGGCTGTGGGGACTCCAGCAATTGCAAGTGTTGAAAATGAGGTTGATTAAGCATTGGTCAGGGATGATCTAGATTGCCTGTATGTGCAAGCTTATGGGTATTTCCCAGGCTTCTGGGCTTTGCTGGTTTCCTCATGGGCCTGTATAAGAATTCTTTCCCTTTCCTGTTGCTACATATGTCTGAAGGTTTTTAAGTGGGATTTTTTTTTGCCTTTCTCAGAAGCATTGTGTATTGCCTACAACCAAGGCTGTCGATTTTTGACTAGGGTGTGCCAAGACCCCTACTGGGACTAAAAACCAGAGGTTTCTTTCTAGAGGGTGATGCCCTCACCTTCTCCTGCCAGCTGCTCATGCACTGGGTTGCAGCTTTACCCTGCTGTCATAACCCAGTGGCCATCACCACTCCCCTCGGGCCACCTACCTGCCACCACACCTAGAGCCATGGTCTGAGGGGAGTGGCAGCAGCAGCTGGGCCATGGGGGCTGGGTGGAGCTGCAGCCTGGCATACAAGCAGGAGGTGAGGGCAGCATGAACCCTGTACTCTCCATTACTCCTCATGCTGCTTCTGGCGACAACAGCAACAAGTCTTAGTGGCTTGCTCCGCCCTCCCATGCTGGGTCCCTCCTGCTTGGCTGCAGAGGCGGTTTCTTCTTGGGCCAGACTTCAGCCCTCTGCCCGCTGTGGGCACAGAGATCTGGGGGGGTCACATGACCCCATACCCCCAAAAATGTCACCTGTGCTCCCTCACCCGCAACACCTTCTCTATGTCTTCCCACCTCATAGAATTATCTTTGGGGAGTTACAGGAGTTGCTCTCATGCTGCCTGACTGCCACATGCATGTGTGCATATGCACATGCATGTGGTGCCCTTGCTTGATCACCAGGGATCCTGGTTGTCTCTGATTAAAAAAAAATAGTCAATTTTCAGATTAAAAAAAGTAACCCAAAATCCACATTTTTTCAGGATCAAAATTAAACACCACTTATATATATTAGTGATGTCTCATTTTGATTGTGGAAAAATGTTACTTTTTTGGGTACTTTTTTAAATCTGAAAATTGAGTTCTTTTTTTTTTTTTTTTTTTATCAGAGAAAATTCTGCTGATCACCCTCCTCTCACTCCTCCCAGCCCCAAGCAGCCTCTTACAGGCTGGAACTCTACCTGCCTGCAAGGGGAAACCTGCAGTTTCCCACGTTTTTCTCCTTTAAAGGAGAGTCCATTTTTCCAGTTTATTCAGGATCCTTTCATATATTCTTCTGAACCACTTTTGGGTCACAACCCTTGGTTTCAGAAATGCTAGACTACAGTCTTCTGGAGGTCCCCTCCATCCCTAATATTCTATGATTCTATTCCAGGAATCTCCTGGGGCCATGTTTCCTGGACATGGTGAAACACAGAGTAAATCTTCTTATGAACATAGTCAGTCACGACTCAAAATATATTTTTCTACCTTCCAGAAAACAACTTGCTTGTTTTACCTGGGGGCATGAAGTGTGCAAGAATATATGTATTCATACTCAGAAACGAAATATATGTGTGTGTGTTTGTTTTTTTAGTTATTTTCTGAGCTAAACTAAAATATCAGTTTATATCACTTGGGGATGGGGAAGAGGGGAAATTGGAAAGAGATTCTATTGAAGTACTGTAAGGTTATAGACCCATAAGAAGGATCCATAGGATTTGGATATTACTCATTGTATTACTAGAAAAAGAAATTTTACAGTGAATTGTGTCATTTTGGGAAATGGTTTCTCAGACATAAAGTAGAAAAAAATCCTAATACATCTAGTATCAAAATGTTCTTGGATATGATACTTGACATATTTCTTCACTAAATTAATATGAGACAATGGTGTTTTTGGTTTGGTTCTGATGAATAAAAAGAACACTATAGATATGCTACTTGTTGAAAATAACCTTTGAGTGAACACAAAATGATTCAATGTAATTTAAATTAAAGGATAAACAGAAGTATGGCTGTAATGAATATTTTCAATTTCAGAAGGATAAACTTGAAAAATTAAGGGCACCAATTCGTGAAATCAGCAGGACTGAGAAGTTCAAGGTGCTTGAACATAGATGAGGCTTGAGATTTCTGTAAGGCCCCCTGTACACATGCAAATAAAGTTGTGATTGGATCTAATGCATAATCCACACAATCATGCCTGCTGTTATGCCACGCAAGGGATTGTGCATTCGATCCAATCGTGTCTTATTGCTGGTTGAAGGGAGGCATGCTCCTGGGTTCCCTCTGTATCAGCAAGAAGCAGGCCCCCACGGCTGAGTGCCTTTGCTGAGGGGGCTCACAGCCATGGGAGCCATGTGTAGCCAGGACTGAGATCCCTCCATGAGGCACAGCTAGGACCAAGAGTCCCATGTGAGCCCAGGGGTTTCGCACACCCCTGAGACTTGGGGATCACAACAGCCATAATCCCCAGGGTTCAGGGGTTTCATGCTATGTTTGGTCACCTCTGTGGATGGGAGCCCAGCCATAGAGAGACCCTGCTAGATGTGCAAAATAAAGCTTAATAGCAGCCAACTATAAAGTTAGTATACATTTTAGCAACCAACTGTAAAGTTAGTACACATTTTAAGTCTAACTTTATAGCTGGTTGGATCTTTTTATCATGTAATAGGCACCTTGCATGTGTAGCAATTCTCAACGTAGCTGCACAATTAACAAGTTAATTGTGTGATACCTATAACATGTAGAAGGGCCTAAGATAAAGATATAAAAACTACCTCAAATTTGCAACGTAGGCAATGAGGAAAACTCATTGGGAAGGGTTTCCAACTTAACAAGGTAACTAAACACTATGTAAGGGTAAAGTCCAGGTGAGTTAGACGTCCCAATGGCTTTTAAAAGAAATTGTAAAAGATTCTTCATCCATATAACTAAGAAAAGAGAATAAGAAAGAAGTAGAGCCAGTGTTCAGATAGCTTAACTGTTCTAAAACCTAAATGACTACTTTGCCTCATTTCACATTATTGATGATAATGTCAAGTATGAGAACAAATGCAGCATCACATGAAGTGAAGATATAAAAATGGAAAGAGCAACAACTACATTGAAATTAAAACTCAAAAATCTTAATGACTGGGGGACTGGATAAACTCCATTTCTGAATTCTAAAGGAACTGACAGATGCAAATCTGGTAGCAAGGATTTTTAACAAATTTACTAACTTGAGGCAGATACCATATAACAGGAGAATAGCAAATACAGTACCAATTGGTGCATCCCCATGAGTGGGAAAGTGCATTTCCTGGGGACACCTAGCAGCAGTACATATTTGTGTAACTGCTATTGTCCCCAGGGATGCCCCTGCATATGCGCTCTGGTGCACACTAAGTTGCCATGGGTGGGGTAGGGGAGGCTGGGGCCACCACCTGGGCTGGCCCCAGCAGACTTACCTGGGGCTCTGGGGGCTTTCCAGCACTCCAGCAGCAGCAATCTAGGCACCAGAGTGTGGCTCTGGCTGGCCAGGCTCCGGTTTCAGAGGGCATATGCTTCTGTTTGTTTCTGGCACGCTTTTTTGTGTCACTGGGGTTTACCAATGTCAAAAAAACTCAACACACTGCAAATTAGCAGTGCAGCAAACACTTGCATGTGTGTTGCATGCAGTTTGCAGCACTGCAGATGGGTCTGCAGCACTGCAAGCCACATGTTCACACTTGTCTGGATGTGCCCAATGGGTACATTTACATGTTTGCGTTACTGCCGAGTAGACTACTTAACTCCACAATAAAGCGTTGCAGTCTACATGTGCACCAGTACTAGGGCACAGCAAGCTAATTAAATCTACCATTAAGTACAGTGGAGTATTTAACTGCATTGAAACATACATGTAGCCAGTGACCGGGTGGGAGCTAGACTCCTGGCTGCCACGTAACCACATGGCTCCATAGGTTCTGCACCCTTGTGCCCCACCAGCCCTTCCATAGCCTGACTCCACCACCTGGAGCCTAGGTCTGACCCCCTCTTCTGTCTGCTTTCTCGTGCATGTTCCATACTGGTTCAAATTGCTGCTGTCCCAAGTGCACATGTAGACGCTGTGATAGGATGTACTAGGTGACCTTGACAATTTGAGTAATAAATGATAAGTATGAAGTAGGCTGTTGCTTATGAAAGTTTACAGACTAATTCAGAAGTGTCTAAGATGCAACTCTGCCCTGCTTTCTGTGTATAATAATGGTCATCCATGTTCAAGAAACATAAACCCAAACTAAGATAGGTATTGAGTGACGTTGGCTTGCTTCACTGTGCAGAATTGAGGCTCTTGGAATATAAATACCAGGAAAGGTAAATACCAGTGTGGGAGAAGAGCTGTTTAAGAACAAATATATATAAAAGGTTTTTAAATCAGTAGAGAATTGAGGCTCTGGGACAGACCTCTAATAAGAGTAGTGACTGAAAATATCCTAAGCTGTTTTAGGGTCTTGATCAATTTATGAAAATCAGTACATGATGGGGGTTGTCAGTGATAGCAAGGTCCATTCCATTGCTTTATTCTCATATTGTGTTAAGGGCAGAAATTATAAATCTGCAGAATATTTTTATGGAGAAAATAGGTTTCAATTAACTGTATACAGATCTCATTACTTTATACCTAATAATTAGATATGGGACAGTGCAAGAAAATTGTTGAGATATTTTTAAATGAATAGGGTTCAGATGTTAAATAGATTTGGTTCTAGGGATAACCTTTTAATTAGATAAATTAGAATTTAAACATACAAGAAATTGTAGTTTATTCACAAGTTGAAGCTCATTTGTTACAGTGCTGCATATTTGTAAAGGAGCATGAATTTTTCTGTGTATTTCTAACCCTATTGCATGTATATTGCCAGTACCTTACATTATCTTCTCATTCAGGTCATTTCACAGCTTCGGATCCTGAGCAGGTCAGTAACTGCTGGCTGCAAATTTGATAGAGAAATCTGGTCCAGTGAGCTTTCTCCTGTTCTCAATCTGTGGAAGAAACTTAATCAGGTAAGAAAACAGCTTATTTAAAAAGACATCTGTCTATCTATATAGTTCTTTCAAATGCATAATAGTCCTCAAAATATTAAGGTTAAATATGTTCTTTTGACTAAGGAAGTATTAAAACAAACGTAAATGAAATATTCTGGAAATAGAACTATTGTGTAGCATACATATAGTTGAGTTAGTTGTACACTGTGTGGTCAGGAAAATTGGTCTATCCTGCCACTTTTTTTTCTTAACATTAACATGACTGCACAGTGCTAACTCATGTGGATAAGATCTCCTTGGTGATTTTTTAAACCACCAATAACATTTGTAGGTTTTAGGCTCAATCTGTATATTTTCTCTGGCCTCCAGGTTAGATATTCATATTGTAAAGCACAGTAATTTCACATTCATATCCTTTACTTTTCATGTCATTAAAAAATGTACTGATTCTTTCTGTAACTTTCCTTCATTCTCATCTCAAGTGCATTATACATAATTATTAAAATCTATTAGAATGTCTAAAAGAGATGCTTATACAATGCTGACACTGATTTTACTCCTCAACATTGCTACCTATTAGTTTTCCTTGATATTTCATGTCATTTAATTTGTTTTTCCAAATACTGTATTTTCAGTCCAATATTCATCTTGATACTTGAATAAATGTATCCTAAATTTTTCAAACATATGTGCCTTTATTTTGATACCCAAGTAAAATTGTGAGCAATCATAATTCCCAATGAAATAATGTTTAACTCCCCTGAACATCAGCCCTCTTTTATTTAGGTGTTTATGGCTTTAGGTAGGTACTTACATTCAGGCATGCAAAGGCCTGATATTCAGCTTCTGTGACTGTAGTCAGTATGCTAATTCACACTTGAGGATCTTGTTGTGAAGTGTACAACTATCAGGATATGGCATAGGTAAGGTGTTTGTCATGATGGTTGCATCTAATCTCTGAATCAGAAAGGCAGTAGAGTTTATGTTTTTAATTTAATTTTTGTGAGGAGACTTCAAGCCTGTTCCCATTTTATCTTGTAGATTTGCAGTTTACATGCTTTCATTTGTGATAGAATAGTTATATTAAGTACTGCCTGTTTCAAAATATGAAATATGTGAGTATGTACAAAAGTGTGCTTAAGTGTGCAATTGAACACATCATTCTGAACACAACAGAGAGAGATTATTATTTCATAGAATCATAGAACCATAAAAAAATTAAGGCTGAAGGGACCTCAGGAAGTCGCATCTAATCCAACCCCCTGCTCAAGGCAGGACCACCCCCAACTAGATCATCTCAACCATAGCTTTGTCTAGCCAGGTTTTAAAAATATCCAAGGATGGAGCTTCTACCACCTCTCTGGGTAACCTGTTCCAGTGTTTTACTACCCTCCTAATGAGAAAATTCTTCCTAGTATTTAACCTAAACTTCCCTTGCTGCAACTTGAGACTGTTGCTCCTTGTCCTGTCTTGCT